GCTGTGAGTCCAATTTGTTCAATGACTGTAGCAGAGAGGAATAAAATTAGTTGGCATGTGGACGCCAAGTCAATTGAACCGCTTGTTGATGTCGCCCCAAACTCGGGGTACATCCCGGTGCCAAATTCAAAATACGCACCACCCAAATCGGGGACACACTTCACTAGTTCACTGGATGTCTTATTTTCATAGGGTAACTGACGGCCCAACGACTGCTTTACTCTGGAAGTCCCCGAATGGCAGTTCTATGGGTGGTATTAGGACCATGTGACTTTTCAGTTGAAATGAGTACCTGAGAGGTCATTAGGCAAACGTCTGGAGGCTAATTTAAAGTTTCCGAATCGGGAACCTGTTTGAACTTTCTAACCTGAGTGGGATTCAGAACCCGCACCCTTCTTCAGTTTGTACGTATATCGAAAGCAACTGCGGGAGCCCTCTTCTGCTCTAGTTGGACCCGTAGGTGTGGGGGAATCGCTGTCGACGGAGGCACTGCAAACAGATGGCGATGCGGCAGTGCGGTTTTTGCGGCCGCGCCGGCTACCGTATATCACACCACGAAATTCCACCTCGAAGTGGCACCTAGGTGATGGAAAACGTGCTCACAACTGTTAGCTGATTGACAAGTCTAACGATCTCACTTAAATCACTAATCTACGTCACGGTGCAGTCTAAACTATGCACAATGTTTTGTGCTGGCAGAATTTGTTGCATTGATTCAGACGAATTACAGTATACTAGGCGCCCTGTACGACGTGTGTGAAAGCTAAATTGCATCAAAACTTTGCTTCGAGGTGGGCGAAGAGTACGAACCGGCGATTTAAGTGGGCCAAATGACTACTGGCGTGGATTATTGAGATTGACAGTGACACACATTGATACTATCCTCGGTTAGGTAAGCTGACCCTGCTGGCGGCTGAGCGTTTCGCGCTATTATTACAGAAAAGTACACAGTCAAATGCGGCCTTGGGTAACAAACCAGTTTGGCACCGCCCCAAATCATTCAAGATGCAATAACGCAACGGCAGCGCTTACACCTCGATATTGGCATGCACAAACTGAAGCCTCGCAAGTGCGGCGTCCGAGGACGTGAAGAAGCAGAAGGCGCGCATTCTCGCCAGGGCATCGCAGATGGCATAGCTGAGACTAAAACTGTCCTCGTCTGTCGTACCTCCAAGGGAGAAATGCAAACTGTGAAAAGCCTCATTAATAACCACCTCAACGCTCGAGCGTTTCCTCTTGGCCATCAGAAGATAATTAGAACCAGGAATTCCCCACACTTTCCACATCCATCGCTTCGCACTTCACGGTGACGTTTTTATTTTAGTGAGCCATCATCGCCAAGTATGCATGCATTGAGGGCATGTTTGTTTACTGCTGCCGATTATGCCTCTACAATGGATCTGCAGTTGCTTGTCAGTTGGTTCGACAGAATTGCGGCCACACTGCATGACCTTCGACGTCTCCTCACAAATAAATACTTCGAATAAAGATGTCAAGTGGGACGCAAACCAGGAAATTTCCACAGAGCATTGAAATGCAGTTCCATCAATTTTCACAAAACTGCCGCTAGTGGTAGACTGAAATCACACCATGTCAGCCTACTAAACGTTTGTACTTTTCTTGGAGTAATTTGTTTTCACCTATAAAATTACTAGGATTTCGGGAATAAACGCCTTAAATGCCTTTAATCGGCAAGTCACTAATAGGGTGGCCTCAGGTTTCCACAAACGAGGCCTTAGAGGCGCTGCAGTGCGATGTTGGTTTAAATAGCGTCAATTTTTCTGTTGCTAAGAAGTTAGTTTCTTAAGGTTCATCACATTCACTTACACACACACACACACAATGCTCGAAAATCCTCAGAACACCTGACTGGTTCTTGAGAGCAACGAACGCCATTCGCCAACTTACTAACATTTGTGTTCCATGTTAATCTGATCACCTCCCCTTTGTCTTACTAGCAAGTGACATTGTCAAAATTGCCTCCCGATATAGCAAGACCCACCCAACTACCGAACCAGACAACGTGCAAAGAGCATGTTGTAGTGTGAGCGGTTTGGTTTTCCGAACTGTGTTTCCCAGTTTTGTTTGCTTGGCTTGTTTCACTTGCAGAACACACGCACACACACACACACACACACACACAAACCAACTCAACCTACTTAAACCAAGATCGTCGATTAGGATGAGGGAGTTGTCCGTGGCCGACCTAAAGATATGACCAACTTCACGCATCTGAAAGGACAAAATCGGGAGGCAAGTGATTTTGAGAGTGAAAACGATTTTGGGAATATGGGGTAGGGGGAGGCAAGAAAGAGGCGCTGCGCCAACCTCTAAGGCAAATGTTGAGGCCTTCGTCGACATGTCGTCGCGACAACCCATACGGACAAAAATCTTGTCCGTGAGCCTGACAGCAGCGAATTTCGCGGGAACGAAACTGCCGATTTGAGCCAGAATCTGGATCAGAGCCACTTGGGTTAGATAAGTCGTTTTGCCACTCTAAATAAGACGTAATTTGGTTTGTTGAAAATGAAGGAATGTCTGCAAAGTGAATGTTTGGCTATCAAAACATTATTGGAGAGGATTGCAAAATCACTTGATGAATGACTAACTCCTTACCACTTCAACCTTATTGGCTACTAGACAGGCCACTCGCTTATTGATCCCCCAAGTACGATTGCACTAATTGGTCGCACCGTCTGTTCTCCCCTTTCGCCGCAGTTGTCATGAGTAGAAATAAGATTCTGTAGATTTTCCGTTATCAAGAATTGCTACTTTGCACGTTGTCTGTTTGGTACAATCAGTGTTGCTGAAAATGGCTCTGACAATTCGTATAATAGTTTTATTTGTCATTGAGGTAGGATCTGATTACTGCCTGTCACCAACAAGGTAACAACTGATAATGGCACTAACTTCATTAACGGCAGTTTGTCAGATCGGCTGCAGGCATTTGTTTGGGGAATAAAATCGTCATGTGGAATGATGTGGCTCAACTAGATTCAACAATTGATCGATTCATCACATCAAAAATCCCCGAATTCAGAGTCTGGATCGAAATAGATCGCAGAGGGTGTTCCAAAGTGCATTTGAGACCGAATAACAACGAACTTACTCGCACGTTTGATTTTGCGTCTTGTTAAGACAGGAATACAGCCACCGGGGTCAACGTCAGGTCAAATTCTTAACAGGAACGGGGCGAAAACGGTGTCTCCACTGACTTACCATGCTTGTTCCAAAGATGATTGACACATTCTGTGACGGCGACGCAAACTAGAGAGTCGATGCATACGGAGCAAATTGACAGCCTACCGTATTATTGCTGACAGAGAGCGAGCCGCCGAAGCGATCGACAATCAGGTTCCGGCCGTCCTGCACGGCGAGGGTGTCACCAAACACGGGTTTAACTAGAGGGAGTTAGGGGAAGACACCTTACCGAAGCAGTAGCCTGGCGGTGCCGAGACCACAATACGCGCGAGGCTGCACAGCAAGTCAACACCCGACACCACCTCGGAGAGGCGATAGAACAGGCTCATTTCTGGGTGCAATTCGTGGATGAGTTTGCAGACGAGGCTACACGTGCAAGTGGCGATGTTAGATGTGCACACCCACACACACACGCACACGCAACTTACTTGTCGGCAATCAGGTAGACTTCGTTGAGGGAACCCTTAACACGTTCTAAATGGAAGGGAATGAGGAGGAAACTGTCCTACCGTTTAGCTTCACCTAAATTTAACCGAATGAATTGCTGTCACCAGAATTTTATTCACAGCAATTTATGAAATAGTGATATCCAGGAAAGCAGAATTATATTGGAGAAGCAATTGCTCTGTGGAGGAGGACATTTTGCTCGAAAATACCCACAATTTTAGCCAGAGTGGTGAGTACATTCAAGGGTTATGGGAGTCACATGACTGAGACACCAATTAGGCAAGGTGAGTCAATCGTTTTCGATTTTTTTTTCAATACTAACCTCAACATCATAAATAACTTTTCAAAACAATGCCTTCATACTCAGTTCTCATAGATCTTAAGTTGTTCGATGAATGACTTCGTTAGAAATCAGATCGCAGTACTTGTGTGGTTGGCAATTTTCTATTGCCTGGCGCAGTCCAGGTGGGAGTAAGGAAAGGTGAGCTAACGCCAATGTGAGGTTTTATTAAGGTTTGAGGAAAGAAATTGAAGTTTGACTTATTCTCACATTGGGAATAAGGGGTTAATTTCGTAGCGAAATAGCAGCGATCGCGGCTAAGCGAATCCTTACAACCACCCTATGATGGCCTCTTTAAGGTGGCAGTACGCGCCGACAAATTTTCATTATTGACGAAAATTGGTGGCTGGATACTGTGAGCGTGGAGAGTCTGAAAGCTGCTGTTATGGATGATAGCAATGTTCCCTCCACATGCCCAAACAACGACGAACTTACTCTACACTCTCCCGTATCTGTACCCTGTTCTACCTCCTGTTTTGGCCGACCCCTGAGACCCGTTGTCCGATACTTTTCACAGCTTACACTCTCGGCGGGAGGGGGGAATATTTGCAGATTAGCAGCGGTCGCGCCTGAGTGAAACCTGTTCACTGACCCGATGGTGACAATGACGCGTCCCCTTTTCATTGGTTATGGTTATCAGACGCCTGTCATCCGCTCACTCGTTCGCACACTTGACTGGTGGGACGCTAATAATCGGTCTTGTCCTCTGTCGACTCCCCTCACCCCATTCTCGGGTTGCTACACGCTGTTAACTAGGGGGTCGCAAGGTAGTGCTAACCGACCCACTACAATTTCTCCACACCATACCCTGGCAAAAATCTCGCGCCTTGAAGATTTTCTGTGAAAATGGTTTACGACGCGTTCGAAACTCTTTTTTTCCGGTTCAACCCTGCTTTGTTCTGTAGGGATTCGTGTTGATGCATGTCCAATAACCCCAGTCCTCGCCGCTTCCAGCACACGTCCACCCCTTATCACGACCTGCCCGTCAGTCACGTGAGGCCGCTGGTTCATTAACCCCTCTGCACGTCTCACCACCACCACCACCCGTTTTAGTCATGTGACCTCACAGACACCTGTGTTTACTTTTGTACATGTCCACTCAACCGTAATTGTACACGGCACAACATGGTTGAGCTGTCTAGTAAACGGTTGTGCCTTCTCCACTCCAGTCTTCTTTATTTTTGCGGGAACACAGGGTAACGCATTCGGCCTAGATTGTCGAAGCGGCCCCGGCGTGGTTCAAGACAACATGCCGGGGCCCTCAACAGTTCTTCCGCGACCCGTAAAAAAGTGAATCATGCTACTGTTCGCAAAATCAGCAGATCCTTGCACATGGAATATCCTCTTGAGGCTAATTGAGACGGACAGCAGTTTTTTGTGACCGCTGCGGGATTCTCGGCTGTTTAATTTTGGTCCCCTACTATGTAATTTCTGGAATGAGTAGATAGTGCAGTACGGTTATTACCAGCTCTGTTGTTGTGCAGTTAACCAGACCCCTGGCGAACTGAACTTTGATAAACACGGACGGCAGTCGACTACTCCGATCCAGTAGTTGGTCAACCCGATTACTCGAATGGTGCTCCGAGGATGCTGTGAACTGGGAGTCCAGATGGTCGCCAGAGGCGGAACAGTCGAAAGCAATGCTGGAATTTGCTTGAGAGGGAGGCGATGTGGCAGTGGCGCCACGAGGCATCGCTGACAAGGCCTGCTCCGGAATTTGAATGAAGAAGCCGCGCGCCTTGGTGTAGGCCACGCGAAGTGGCAGGTGGTGCGCTCTGGCGAGGGTTTTCACGTAACCTAGAGCAATAATGCAGGCAGAAAAAATCGATAAGTGATCGTCGATAATCCAGAGGCAGCCAATCGTTGAACAGGATGATGCTGCTGTCCTGGGAGCAGAAGATTGACATGGAGGTGGCAAGATTAGTATTTTAATCGACTCACCATGTTTAGCATAATAGGCGACGTTCGGAACAATGTGAAATTGCTTTTTCATTGTCTACGAAAATTACCCAATCAGTGCTAGCCAGATAAGCCTTGGGACGTCATGGTAAATGTCTATTAACAGTACATTTTGAGGAGATTTGTGAAGTAATCACAAGTTTTTAATTCTAGCGAGGAAGGAGGAGGTGAAGGCTGGACACTTTTAGCCACGATGAACTTTCCATTGATAAAGAAACGACTACGAAATTTTGCGGTTAGCCGCATGCACAATACGAAATCGCAAGTGCCTTGCTTAACGAAAGCCACCACCTACCCAGTGCATGATCCCATGCAGAGAATTTTCAGTGGATCAGCCCAAGGCCAAATGACTTGGGCGACCTTGACAACAAACAACATGGATTGGTGAAGAGGTCAATAGGGTTGAGTATGATGTCTTAAAACAAGGCTGTTAAATTTTTTTGAGTAATTGTTGCTGAAATTCTCCTAAGGCAGATGGTTACCGAGATCCTTTTAATTATAAATCACAAAATGTGTCACACAGCGACGAGTTGACGGTGTTTCTAACTAAAGACATCCATGCAACAGCCCAGTTGATCTTCTGTTAGGGATTCTGCATCCGCAAGAGTATGCTTTTCTAAGTTCATGACAATTATCTGCTTTTCATTGTCATTCGCCATTTTATGCACACCATCTTTCGAGTTCAAATCGACCGCCCTCTTCGTATTGGCCCATTTGTTCTGAAACACACTCAAGGCTGGCCACAACATGCATAAGTGGACTCACCAACTTTTGACTATGGCAGTAAAGAGCTCTCTGCACGAGGTACTGTTCTGGCTCAGTTTGGGGAAACAGTGAACCCTTCGTGTTTGGTCTCTGAGCTAGCGCCGTGGAAGATTAAGCCGGGCTAAACTAAAGGGTTCGATAATTTGCACGATGTTTCAACCGTGCGAACTCCCTTATGCGGTCACAGTTGTGGATGGCTTTCTCATCACTGCCAGAAAGTATAAGCTGACAGTAGTTCATTTGACATGCTAAAAACTAGCTAATATTTGACAGCCAAAATTGACCTATTTGTGACCTAAAGTTGACTCCTGGAAGACGCTCCCCCAAGAACCGTTCTCGAATGTTTTAATCAATATTTGTAAGCTTAATCAAATGCAGCGGAAATTCATAAGTAGAGCAGGCAATCACCCTCATCTCAAGCTTTTGACGACGCACGGTTGACCCGGCCTTGACCCCTTAGAGGGTGATCCTAAATAGATGTTTGAATGAAGGGAATCGGCTGGACCGCCATTACAAGGCGGTGTTTTATTTCGGCAGCAGACACTGCCGCAGTCCAAACAGACTTACGTGAAATGTCATCCACCTGTTCCGCGTAGGCGCGTCGCGTCAAGTCCAGTAGCACATTGACTCCCGCCTGAAATGGAATTAATAAAAGACGTCCACACCTGCTTGAATGACCACGCGGTTGTGTGCAAGTCGCGCCTAGCTTCCCACCTTTATGGCGAAGCACTTTTGCACGCGCATCTGAAGGGTCCCTTTGCACACGCAGGCGTCCGGGTGCAGAACGGTGGTAATTTTGTCCAGCAGTTCCACGTAGCCGTTGTCTGACAAAATCTGCGGAAACAAAGTGATAATGCTGGCGCTAGTCGTGGGTCGCTCAAACTCGTACTCCACAATTAAACGACGACTCCATGTAAATGGGGTAAAGTAACATCAATTGTGCTCAACCGACAGACCCTCTATGGACAGATCTGAGATGCATGCGCAGTCCCGATCCTGTAAACTCAACGCAATTTGTTTTAGTTGTCCTATAAGCGGCCGTGTTCTCATTCACCGCGAGGTATCCGCTGTAATCGTTGAAAATCAGCGGGTCATTTAGGTAGAGCGTTTTTTGATCAGGAAATGACTCAGTGGTATCGATTATCGTTTTGGAATTATGGTGTAGAATTTTGTGATTTCACAGTCAGATCATAGGGCATCTGCCTGGACATCCTCGAAGTTTCCACCAACCTCTCGGTAGGTTCTGAGCAGGGTTGAAGAGGTTCCCCTGAGGGCGTCGTGCAGCGGCTTGATCAGGTCCAGCAAGTGTTTAATCGCAATCAACTTGGTGACACGTAGTTCAGCGTTTTTCTCAATCGTGATGCCGGACACCAGCGAACTTGTCTCCAGGCCTTCTAGTCTGCCGCGTGAACTGGCCGTCGACACTTTTACCGAGGTCGATCCGGTGCCAGGTAGCCCAGTGGGCAGGTCCCGGCTGATCAGCGGTGACGTGTAGACGTGGGGTGCCTCACGGTGGACGTCTGAACTCGGAGTCAGGAGGTCCTCGATGGCGTTGCGACTTGATTCAGGGGAGCGCGTCCATGGAAATTTAGGGGGTGTCGTGGTAGTGTTGGCAGCGCGACTTCCAGTGTTGGAGAAGTTTGTGCTGGTTGGAAGATCGGGACGTGGTGTGGGAAAGTCAGAGAGGTGAACACACATTGACAAGAGGCTGTCGATTGCCGGAAACTTTACTAAAACGTTCTGAAATTTAAAATAGGATCTACGATGACATATTTAAGTGACAGTCATACTTTTCCATTAGCGCAATCAAAAGAAAGGCTAATGCGTTTGTAGTGCTAGACTTTAGTCTTAAAGACAGTGCTAAATGAGTCGGGGTCACTTAGACAATGAAACAGGATTCGTGGAAAAATGCCTTAAACTTGACTATAAGCAGATGAAACTGGGTCGTGGTTAATTCTAGCTATGACTTCGCAAGCTTCTTATTGTTATCAACGAGCTTCAAGAAATACCGAAATTGGTAAAGAGGTGTGGCTAGTTAGTTAGGACAGAAATCCCGAGAGGTGTATTAATTGATAAAAAAGAACATGATTAGCCCAGGGGTCGATTTACGTCGATTAGGATCAAGTGTGAACACAATCACCACCTCGTGCTACAGTACCTGCACTTCCAGAAGGATCTGGGGCTTAGAGATGAGCTCCACAACCGCGTCCTGTCGGAAGGTTATGGTCGCCAAGTCTAAAAATTAACATAACTCTCAAGACGGCAGCTAAGATGAAGCATTAACACAGCGTCTCCTCATGGCTTACCGTTCGGAGGTTCGAGTAGGGCGGCTCTCAGTCGACGGGCACCACTGAGGGTGCAGGTGTAGTTGATAGCCTTGAAGAGGGTCCGAGTGTCCCGCGCGCGACCCAGTCGCCCCACAAGCCTCAGGCGAAGAGCACTTGTCGCGTCTGTGTGGAAATTAGTGGAAAGAAGAAGAAGAAGTTCAGACGTTAGTAGATGCACGTGCTTATATTACTTACACTAGCTTATTAGCAGCCCCAGTCTTTCTCATACTTCTTTTGGTATGCCGATCAATAACGCTCTTGATAGTATTTAACAACTATACACTACGAAAGTAAGAATGGCCAGTGGGACATAAAACAGAAAAAGAAGGCCATGCAAAGTAACAACCAGTGTATGCGAATCACAATATACGTAATCTACAGTCCACATGCATATATACCACATCTGAGTTAGTTTTCCAGCTTGCTGTTTGCCGATAACAACGCTCTTGATGGTGGTTAGTAAATACACCCAAGGTTTAGATAGCAACGAAAGAAGGCCGCAAGTATTGGTGCCTTGGACACCACAAAACAACCCAGAAGTCAACGTGATAAAACAGATTTTCGAGCATGTATGCGTTGGGACAATTCCTTAGTGTACATCTTTGACTTGCTTGATCTTGTGTGAGTACAATGACAAAATTATCTGTAAAACTGGGATTTATTCATCGAATAAACGATGGTGTCTCCGTTGCTCATCGTCCCTCTAATCCAACATGACCGCTCAATTCAATCCAATCGGATAAGCGTCAACGACGCACTGAAAGAATAAAACGTCTATCAACAAGAATCTAACACTCACCCAGCATTGTTGCTTGAGAAGAGCAGCCGAAATCCACCTTCAGTGACTTCGGAGCATGATAAACTCGCTTTGTTGTCTCAATGTAGTTAAAGAGTGCGGAAGTAGCAGCTAAGCCGTAGTATCTAAAGAAAAAATTGTCAAAACTATTAAGGTAATGATTTAAAATATAAGAAAATGCAGGACGTAACAGCTGTACTAGAAGAGGCCCAGTATACGATGGCGCTCAGATCTTCAAATTACAGATGAAATTTGGAATAGTTCAAAACAATGTTTCATAAAAGGCACATAAGTACAACTTAACTGACACCATAAACAGGTTCTGCCAATAGGTAAGTCTAACAGATTCTAAGAACGTACTTTTCTTGAAATGCGTAAATCGATGGCAAGTAATGCGGATGGCAAAGAGCCTTTAGATACTCAAGACCTGAAAGAAGATACATTCAAAAAATGAACTTCAAAAAAGTCAGTACATGCCAATGGAGAGTAAAGGACTAAGAAGAGATTCATATCCTGCTGACGCATTCTCACCGTTAACTGCATCACAGACAGTTTAGGTGCAAAGTAGGTAATTTGCATTTTAGCTTTTACGCATTTCCATGACACCTACCTTGTTGGTTGTTGAATGAATGTCGACTAACTCCAATTATGTCACAGCCAAATTCGCTTTGTTGAAGCAATTTGACGAGTCTGTTCATGTTACTTGAAGGATCCAAAGCTGAATGAGGCACCAATACCTAAAAACCAATATTTTATTGTCATCAGCACCAATTAAAGCAAATGACTTCAATAAAAACTAAGGCTAAAAAACCTACTAACTGTTTTCAATAAAAAAATGGTATGTGGATGACATACTTTAAATGTATAAACTCGCTAATTATTATTTCCATATTAGATAACTGTCTGCTAAAGGCAACCCACATCAACGGGCATCCAAATGAGCATTTTCATAAGCGTATTGCTGTAAGCACTTGTGTCGGTAAATTGAGACACCTCCACTCCAGGTCGATTTAAATCGATAGCTGCAACTCCTATTTGTCCATTGTTAACACCACGTCCCTCCACAATACCTGTAAGTAAAGTGCACAATGAAGTAATACAATTGACTTCATTTCTTATGGAGATGCGGATGAAAAAAGCTGTCTCTTCAAAGCTCAAGTTAAAGAAAGGCACGTCTGTGAATTATTACACCAATTCATGGAACTTGAAATTTATTTCGAGCCATAATTTTCGGAGAAATAGGACTTCCAACCGCAGTAAGTGAAAAATATACTGTGCATATAAAAAACAAGTAGCATATTAAATTTTAAGCTGTATCAAGTTATTAAATGTGTTACAAATCAGAACTTAAATACAAATTTGACCATCAGCAAATACAAAAAGGCGATTTATACAAATTTCATTGCACAATACAAGAAATAATAACAATATTTACATAATCAGTGGTTTACCTATGATCTGTAAATTCAATAAAATAGTTGGCAACAATCTAGAACTAGCCCAAATTAAAAGTAATAATTTATTTCCTGTCGCTTTCGATGGCTTTAGAAATAATTATTCAACTAGGTAAAGAAATCCAAAAAAACAATAGACGACACCGCTAATTGAGGATAAACATTTTATAGAAACATACAAAGTAGTGTGTTTGCTTGAGTTCTAGAGCTGCGGCATGTTCTTGACGATGAATATTTCCTTAACAGAACACTTGAGGTTTTTCCGGAGAAAGCAAGGCCAGAGGACCTTTGTTTATCAGAAGACCTTCTGCGAGAAGGTCCTGGCCGCCATTTATATGCATCAAACTTTCCCTTCCAACTACACAACAAAACATTTATTTATGCTACACATACGAAAACGACATCCGTAGAATCGGACACGGCAATTAATATATTTTTTAACTTGCCTCCTCGAAGAGTTAATTAAAATAAAGAGGAGCAATAATGGTAGTCAAAGTGTGTGATGTCCACAGTCTCAATAAATTTAGAATTTTGACATCTATTGACTGTGAAATCATGCAGTGTAATATGATGGTAGATTTAGGAGTTACATCCCCTGTGATTGGATGCAAAATATTTAACTCATTTTGATGTTTGAAACTATTACACCGCGCTAAGAAATTTGCGACATCTGTGGCGTGAATACCTTAAAAAAGCCCTAGCAGTTTAGTTGGCCTCCTTAAATTAAGAACATCATTATATTCATGTGTGACTATCCAGCATGATGTTTTGTGGTGGAATCCTGGTGAGACACTTGATTTCGTTTTGGAACACAACCTAATTATTTTATTACCTTTGGCATTCCGTGACGCAATTTGCTTGCGAATAATATCTGTCAATATCTGTCAAGGAATGTGCGTCATTGCACGAATTACTAATCAGAAATCTGTTTTATTTGCAAAAAATTGAATAGTGTTTGTTAGGAAGGTGATATAGAAACTCGTCAAATAAATATTTCCCAAAATAAAAACAAGTCTTATTTAAGGTCTAGATTCAGTCCCATTGCTAACGCAAGGGACGGTTCTATGCCTTTCTGTTTTATTTCTCTACTCACATCCTTTATTTTTCCTTCACTAAAAATTGCAACGGCGCTTTTTGTGACGAAATGTATTTTTGAGAAAAAAAAGAAATATTTCGCGTACTTGTTCAGACTGCTATATATATGCGTCAGCTGTTGATGGATTGTATATCCAATACTGCCATCAAGGTGTCAGTTTGCCATGCTTATAACCCCTTTTATAATACCCGTGCTCTAAAATGAAAGTGACTCTTTTATCAGAAAAGGCTCCATTGGCGAAATCACAAGCCAGAATCACGCGTCAGATGCCGTCTATCGGAGTCCACCACGCTGGCTACGCTGTTCAGTACATACCACTTCTTACACATGTCTGTCTCTGGTTGGCTGCCATCCTCCTCGCATGCCAGACCCGGTCAAATGACGTCGTCACCATGCCTTGCTGTTTAATTTTGACCAATGACTGAGAGCAAAGGTGGCGACTATCTGCCATTCCGACACAGCTACACTGTAGAATATCCGAGCCTTAGTGTAAAAAAGACTGGTACATCACAGCAGGCTTTATTGACAAATCACAAGCCAAGTCCACTACGTTGGCTCCGCCGCTCATGATATACTGCTCGTCATTCGTGTCTTTATCTGGCTGGCTGCCATTCTTCTCGCATGCCATTAGAACGCAGAAAGATAGAGGATTGGCTGAGGGCAGTGTGGTCCAATATATACCTGTGCCACAATACTTCACTACACTGCCTTCTCCTCGGGAATGATGCTATCCACAGCTTCTGGCTTTATTCCCCGTACTGTTGATGATCGACGAAATATCCAGTTCGACACTCCTTGACACCTTTTAGCTGACAGGATAGTGGCAATAACGAATAGTCGGCAAGGGACTTTGCTCTTGTTCACATGCAGGAACGCCGCTTCAGCTATGGCGGATCCCTTCTCCACTTGCAGATCAGCTGGCTTCTACCGTCCATGTCACCGTCGCTGACTTGCAAATGCGTCTTCGGATTTTGTAGTTTTAATCCCGTCCAATGTCTATGGATCTACATTACGGGACATCGGAAGAAACGCCATGAGAATTTAAGCTGGCATTAAAGGTCATCGCCTCTGTTGTCTATTGTATGGAAAGGGTTGGGGTTTGATTTGCGTTTTGGAAACGCATCCGCTGTCACCAAAGTAGAATACTTGAGCCTCCATGATGCTCCACACCTGGCAGGGTAGTGGCCCAAGCGAATATTAGACTAGGGTGTTGGCTCTTGGTGACTTGCAGGAAGGTCGCTTCATCCAACGCAGGTTCCTTCTCCTCGCACAGGCCAACTGGCTTCCGCTGTCCTAGTCGTCTTTGTTGACTTGCCAATGCCTCTTCAGATGCCGGAGTTCTAATCCCGGGCAATGTCTAAGGATCCATTGTTTGGAAGATCAAATGGACCACCATGAAAAGCGCAAATGGCATTCAAGGATCCTTGCCTTTAATGCACATAGAAAGGAAAGGCCTGAAGTTCGATTCGCGTTATTCAAACGCATCCGCTCCTACCAATGCTGACTACCCGAGCCCTAGAATGAAGGAGGCTGGTGAAACAGAACTAGCTTTATTGACTATTCACAAGCCAGAATCACACATCAGGCTCCATCTATCCGACTGCACAACGCTGACTACGCCGTTCATTATATGCCACTTCTCAAACTTATCTATCTCTGCTTGGCTTTATATCTTCCTCGTATGCCCTTGGAACGCAAAGAGACAGAGGATTGGCTGAGGCCAGCGTGGTCCAATATGTCTGCGCCCTCTTATACTTTTCAACAATACTCGACATCCGGTGAATCTACCTTACGACCCAGGGTACTCTTCCTTATTTACTTAATTTTTAACTTTTGGATAACCAGTTTTCGTTGCTAGTGAATCGCATAAGGATCGGGTGTGCAATCTAGTCACATGTTTTGCATCACATGTAGCAACAAAATTAGCCACCCTCATAATATAATATATATTTTTGAGTCAAGGTTTTTACCGGTATCTTGACTATTTTTAGTTGTTTGGTGTTGACGAATAACTAATATTACTCCGTTCCCAGCCGCTCATATTGTCTCCTCTGAATCGAACGGTGGTGTTGGTTTGTGCATTGTCTTCTACAATGTTTCTGAATTATTAAATTATTCAAACTTTTTTATAGTTCCTCATCGTTATAAATAAAGTGTACTGTACAAAAAAGACTGCTTGTTAAGTGGTCACAATATTTATGTCGTAGCCACATCAGCTCTGTTTAATCTGTTTAATGATCGAACGTTCCTTGGATTGCTCTAATCTCGTTGCTCATGTTTGTTCAGTTGATTTTAATCTCGTCAAATAATAAGTGCCTGTTCATAACTCCCTTTTTCTCGACCACGCATTTTGCGAAATTTTGATGACCCGAGTAATGCTCGTGTGGAAATCGACACACTTACAATTTTCACCATGCCATTCTTCAAGGCTTTTGCAAATCGCTCTTTGAAGGACCTTTTCTTAGTACTAAACCCGTAGTGGGGAAGCATGAGATGTTTGAGAATTTCCGTAGTCTGGTATTGATATTGCCACTAGTATGTTCCCAAACTTGGTCTTGTGACTTCTTATGTGTAGATTTTTGCTTGATGTTGATGACGCAATTGTAGTATCCATGGAACACCCGTATCCCAAAATGGAGGAGTTCGCGGATCCTGTTTCTACTCCAACCACTGGTCCCGAAGTGTACATCATTCGACAATTACTTAATCCTCTTCGTGTGACACGCACCCTAATCCAGCTTGGTTACGAACCTCTCCCCCCCAAATCCTGCATCTCCCCGTTCCACTTTTTCACTTGGAATGCAACCACCCTCAACTGTTATCCAAACGTCTTCGTGTACACGCGACACCTATTTCGCACCTGTGGTTTTTGGAATGTTGCAACCTGCGGTTTTGCCTCGCACTTTATCTTCAACATCCTTGGCGAGGCGTGTCACTTTATGATCCACCAGTATGTCGTGGAACAAACGCTATGCAATCGTGGATGGCTTCAAGACGAGGATATTGCCGGCAAGTCGGACTCAATGCTTGTGGAGTGTATGATGGAAGAGGCCCCGTTTTCTCAATTCACCCTGCACCTGCTGAAGCTGTGCTTCCTGAAGACTTATGAGGTTTTTCTCACACAGCCATTTTACGGTTGGTCTCGCGATTCGTTTAACCCCGCTTTGCTCTTGGTATAGACTAACGGCACTCATGTTTTTCGTGTTAGTAATAATGGTTCGACAGGCGGCGAGTCTGATTGGGGGCGAAGCCAGATATTCCTGGCTCTTTCAAGCCGTTTGTTCTATTTATAAGGACAGTGGACTTCTTGGATTTTTCTCCGTAAGTTCTTTTAACTTAAAGGAAACGTTGAAAGTACATAACATAAGTTATCAAATCAACAAGAATCCATTTGGCGTGGGTACCGCTGAACAACGCACCAGCACGTTTGCAAATTTAGCATAGCCTTGTCAAGTCAAAACGTGTCTTTCTGTGAGTTGACGCTGCCGTATTGCGTGCATGCAATTGCAGTCTATTGCCGGAAACCACACCTGGTTTCGACACTTGAACAGAACATCCACCCACCGCCGAGACATTGTTACCGTGAGCGTTACACCACGTGATATACTCTTGTCATAATCTTTGACGTTATTTGATTAAGGTTTATACCAACAATTCGGAGGTTCTGTGCGTTGAAAACGGCAAAAAGTTGCCCCTTCCGTGGTGCGTGACGTTTGACATCACCCAGCCACATCTTTATCCATAATGTTCAACAACCCGCATCCCCTCGGACGGAAATTTGACAGTTCGTGTCATCGATTATCCCTCTACTTCCATTCATTTCGCTCTTAAGGGCCTCACACCACGTCTGATTTTCGAGGTAGCCCGGTTAGCCCTTTACCTGTCTTTGTGCCGTGTTCTGCGTCGACGGGTCTTAGGCCTCTTTCCCCGATCAAGTCTCCTGCGTCCCCTACGCTCGGTAATGGACATCTTCATCAACATCTTCTTCTACCGCCTGGATGTATGTCCCATTTACCAGCTAATTTCGTTTTGTATTGACAAGCCACAAATCCTAGCGGGTTGTGACGCCATGGTCAGATCCAGAACACAGCGTAGACGGACGATTCGTCTAGATGGTCTAAATGCTTCCAATCTTTCAATGCAAACAGCTTTTCGAATCTACTGTTCCAGTACCCACAATTCCGACTGGCGTATCTCTATCTTCCCCCACAAAAACGCCGTTCTTCTTGTAGGTAGTCTCCTGTGTGATGGCAGTCCACGGTTCGCGACTTGCATTGGCGGCGGAGGCCAACTCGTTCACTGGATGGCGGGACTGCAAGCGCGTCTTCGCCTCGAGCGGCCAACTAAGTCGTGGCTTCTGGCCATTTTGGAGGATGCACGTGCAAAACGAACACCTACCCGCTGCTGTCTAGGCTGGCACATCAATTCCGAAACTTCTCTTTTGTATAGTTTTCTGCTAGATCACTTACTTTTGTAGTTATCGTTGGTTTGAACAAATAGAAATGAATGCTGGCTTTGCATGCTCTTAAGAATTCCCAAATTGCTTTCTTCATGATTTACTGAGGAGGAATAATCACAGATACCGGTGCTGGTTATACACAGGGGAACTCTGTACAAAAGGGACTGCAAGTCGATTAATTAGTCTCCAGTGCAATCAACGTCACCTGCCGGACGCTTTGCGAGGACGATGTCTTCCAAGAGGTCATGCAAACACTCATTGCATGACGGACAAACGGCGCCTCCGATTTGAGCTGACGGAACCAAACGGAAGTGCGATTTTAATTGGGCAGATAAGTCGCTTAATTCCGTCGAGTTCTGTGTGTCAGTCTCCTAGACAAGGAAGTACGGTAAATTAGTTTCCAATAAAACTGAGAACAACTGACCAAAGGCTGCACCTACCTCTAGTAAATTGTTCCAACAGTGGAGTACGGCTTGTCTTATGGAAGGATCTTCCTCCAAATCAATTGACTCAAGACTGATACATGATTCGACGGCGATTTTGTAGGAGCCCGTGGCTTTAAGATGCTGTAGCACATTCAGATTGGTAAAGCAACGCAGCAGGCACGCGAGAAGTATTCCCTTTAGCGAACTTGGAAAGACATTTGCATTGTCAACCAATCGGCTAAGCTCGTGCAAGTGAGTAACGAGTTTTAGGATCTCCATGCAGACATGCAGTGAAAAGGTGGTGCGAGCCTCTGGCTTTAGTAAGTCGGCAGTGAATAGCCCACGGTGAATCGCGATGACAGTTTCGTTGGCCATCAGGCCAGGGTCTTCGGCTATTTTTATGGAAACAAGTGTCTGTAATTGAATAAGCCTCAGAGTTACCTCCTCACTCACAAGGGAACAGTCGAAAATCCGCATTAGAAGAAATGAGAATGAGAGACAGCCGCCATTTGCCTTCAGGTTTGAACACTCTTGGTGAGCGAGGTTGTAAATAATTAGGAAGATCTTGAGACGCTCTGGGTGCGTAAGATGCGAAAGATTAGTGTACAAGACAAAGACACAGTCCATTAAGCTGGGCAATTCTGCCGACAAGCCGGGCTGCTCGGATAACTGCTGAAGTAGATAAAAAAGTTGTTCCTTCATTTTTGGTTCGTCCTGGAGGTGACAATAAAGCTTATACAGAAGCCATCCGTTTTGGTAGTTACAGTCCTGATGGTTTGAAAACACCTTAGCTGCGTATTGCCAGACATTATCGACAAAAGTAGGAGGGAGTAATTCTCGAAATGCACGATGATGTGTAAAAGTTTTCGGGCAAGTTGAGAGTGGAGAAACGAGCCTCTCAAGAGATGCCTGAGTAGCCTCATTAAAGCAACTTTGTACTCGACTGTACCATGTTTCTACCAATTGTCGATGAACGCTGCATTCTTGAAAAGTGCCATTCACAATAAGGCGGCGCAATAACTTTTCAACTTGAACATTCGATAATAGATCTGAGACCAACTTGTCACGAAACGGTGGTAAATATGGAGAAAGTAATAAAAGTAAGTAGCGAATATCGTCAACATTGAATTTCGCGTCAGACAGCGCGTCCTTAAAGTGCATGAGGACCGCCAATGAAGACTGTTTGAGAAAGATGGAACAATTCCGTTCACAATAGTTAGAGGACAAGAAGATTTCCGTTGCAAGATCCGTCAAAAAATCAATATCCTCAGGAGAGAACTCATGGGCTAACAAGGGATTAGAATCGCTTTTACCATTTTTGATGAAGTGTGCAGGTGACTTCATCAACAATACCAACAGTGTTACTATCGATCGCCGGTGAATAAAATTTGGTGAAACCTTGTACAGATTTTTTAACTGGACGATTTGGGAATCTGCGCCAGCGTTAAAAATATTGAAGTGACTGTTTTCGTGTAAGACCCTCTTAAAAAATGCATACAGTGCAGAAAGCGAGGAAAACTGTTTCGAAATAATCATGTTGCTCACTGTTCGGTTAACTTTGTCGATATCTGACAGCGAGCATAATTTTCGCATTCGCCAAATAACGGAAAATTTGATTTTTAGAATCCCACGCGCCACTGTTGTATCATCGGTTTCCTCGTCAAATGATTCAATAAATTGTTCAAAATTATTTTCGTAAAAGTCCAGCCAAAAACTCTCATGGTAGTTATTTTCGCAATATAATGAGGATTCAAGTCGATTCAGTAATGTATCATCCAAGCGCCCAGAAAAGTCTTTACTGTGATGGTTTACGAGCGCAAGAAACCTGCCACAAGGACACATTTGCAATTATGATTTATTAAAGGATTTCAAGGTCACCAATCAAAATGAGCTTCAAAACCAATGTGTCTTGATAAAAAGATCAAAAAAATTCATCATATAAATATACATTGTTCAGGTCAGGACGTGCAGTATTTCTGCCAATATCTTCAAAAAACAGTTTAAAGACAAAGACACAAGAGTGAAAAAACAAAATGCAAATATTCTCAATAAAAAATAATTGACTCTGCGTTTAATGATATTAAGTAAGCTCTGTACTCTATGATAATATAAATAGATTTTCCGAAATATATGTATGATTCGGAGGTCTTATCTAATATACCCAACTCAGTGGCCGCAGCATGTTGTGCCAAGCCGCATGCGGCGGCCCACAACAAAAAAGTTTTAGTTTTATTGAACATGCTTCGATTGTAGTGATGATATCCAGAATTTAAAAAAAATACGTGTTATTTGTAAGGAATAAATGACAACCTGGATGTGTATATGTATGGATATATGAATCAGCAAACACTGAATAGAGGGGAACGTGATAAGAAAGTAAGTTTCAGTTTCAGTCACCTAATCTTTTTTTTTCATTGGGCTAGAATAAATTGATTAACTCTTGGGCCATCGTAAGGTTTCGTGCCAGCAATTTTTGTAAAATCATCAATGCAATTTTAAGGCTTAATTTCTTTGCGGATGATTGTTTAGTATTACAAAGCTTTTTATGCCTTTCCTGAACAGTAAATACGGAAAGTTAAGTTGTCTTTTGTTGTAACCTTATCGCTTGAATGTAACTGTCCAAAAACGTATGATTTTATTGTGGACCAGCTTTAACTGGAGTTGTTTTCATTCGTCTGAATTTTAAACGAATGTCACCCTCTAATGGATTTGACAGTGCGCTACTCAACCGCAAATGCTGACAATCACAATGCAGAATTTATTTATGGCCGTGGCAAACAACAGCAATCTACACGTGGGATTTCGAAAATTATGTTGATATGAGCAAATAGTAAATTACTTGCAGCAGGAGACATAATTCGACAATGGATAAGTGGTATTTTAGACTGTTTCACATTTGCACACTCTGACACATCTGCCATAAATAGCTTGTCGAAAAAATCTTTATCCACAGCCAAAATTTATACTTTTATTTTCCTGTAACGAGAATTCTGACGTCTAAATTCGCAGCTACAATTCAACCCAACGGCCTTCTACCAAACTCAAGTTGCTGATCTACCAGTCTTAGAAAATCTTAAAAACCAATTTTGTTACTACAAAAAATTATTCTGCCATCATTAGACACGAAGTTAATGAAACATGTGCTTCATTATTAATAATTAATGCCTACAATGGATTGTCATAGGCATGCATTCAAACCCAGTTACTCTCATCAGTTGTATTATCAACACACATCCAACAATTCGATGGATAATGTCTATTCCCCAGATCCAAAAATGATATAAATTTTTATTATATCGATCTTTGACGTTAGTGAGACATGCGTCAATAACATTTTAGCACTGAGTCATATGCGTGCGATCAACAATACAAAACGATTTTGGAGCACCAATTATCAACTTGAAATATATTAAATACAATGGAAGAATGGGTTCATAAAAGTTGTTTATGTCCCATCGGAATTCAGGTTTACAGATTCACTAAACAAAGAACGATTTCTTTTATGCGGCTGCAGTCTTTTTTTTGGAAACAAAATTTTCAATGTAGTCGATTTAATTCCTTTTTAGACTGTGCCTCACCAACTGAGTAACTAAAAACTTACTTTTTAAGAACTCATTTTAGAACAGGCCATAATTAAAAATACAGTTTATTTTCTGTAATACCAATCCCGAGGTTTGAAAATGCAATCATACTTAAAGTAGTAGGACGTATGCCTGCATTTTAACGTCTTCCAACATCTTAATTTTCATAATTGCGCGGAAACAGCACGTGGCACTACAAAATAATGAATATAATGGAATATAGATCATAATTTTATCCAGAACATAGATTTCCACATCACTTAGGTTTCTGAGACATACGTTATAATTTAACAAGTAAATGCTGATGATTAAATTAGAGTAAGAACGTTCAACTAAATGCTGGCTGTAAGAGGTGCAGTTCCACAGACATTGCAGCCATTTCGGATTGTGTCTTCGGCTAAACGGCTTCATCAATCTGTAAATTAAATGCCTTGTGAGAAAGATCAGCAGCCAACCATAGGTAGAGAAGTATGGGGCTCACAGTAAAACGGGAGGCAAAGGCAGCATGGCAAACGCGAATAGGTGGCGATAAACGAAAGTAATGCCTTTTGAATGTCTATAAATCATGATGTGCAGTACTGATGCTTTTAAAAACATAAGTTGGTTAGTTACAATATGTACAATGAATTATTCTCAATACTACAAATTATAACTGCAAATCCTATAATATGAACTGCATATATTGCATCCATTTAGTGCAGGTAAAATGGATGTAAAATATATATGCTTATTTTATGCTACATGGTTCCAAATAAATTTCAATTCCAAAATAATCGGTGCATTTTCAAGCATTATATGAAGTTTACATTTTCGGTAAAAAACATATGACATCAGTTATAATTGTTTGTCAATAGCTGTTTGTGCTACATTTGTCGGCTCAAAAATTTAACAGCCAACAAAAGTAGATTTTTCTAAGTAAAAAATGTTAAGGATTAGTAGGTGGGTATATCTCTTGTAAGTCAAAATGCCGTTAGATATTATTAAACTCACCAGTCTAAATTGCTATTTACATCTTACACATTAACCAGTGTTTGATGTGAGATAACAAAGTCCCTATAAAATAATTAAAAGGAGCTGTATTGTGAAAAAAAATGCTTGTTTTAAAAAAATGGAACAACTTAGTTTCAAAAAGGGCCAGAATGTTCATGTGTCCAATGGTTATCATCAGCAAACGTGATAAATATATTGTATTTAATTACTCACAAACCCTTAGTCGATTATCTTTGCTTTATAAATCCAGTAGGCCCAAATTTATCGACCAGAAGATCCAAATATTATGGTAGACATTTAACCTATGGTTTCCATTCATTCGAAATAAATCACTCTGAAATTTTAGCAATGACGCCGTTGGAATTCATAATTTGCAGGAATAATCTAAAATAACCCTGTGATTAGATGTTTAAAAGACAATTGTGAAAACTAGCTTACATTGTGTTTAAAAATCTAATTTTAAAATATGTGAAACCACTCACTAAATATGGCTGTGTTTGGTTTTTTGTGTGCCGAAATCTCCTTCTTTCTTTAAGCTGGCAGTTTCAGAAGACTTTTAAGAAGTGAATTATAAACATTATATAACACAGACGATGAAATAGCTCTTATAATGATAAGCACAATACCTTAAATCAGTTTAATAGCGCAATGCCAATTATAAATATCTGATTTCGTTTTTTGAGTGACGTTGAATAGTTCTCGAGTGTCTTTTGCAAATGAATTTCGAAAATAATAAAAAAAATTCGATTATCATCAACTATGCATGAACCTCATCAATGGTTTTACACTGCACTTTGATGCCTCTACATTATACGTTTTCAAGCCCCTTTGAATGCGGGTATTACGTTACAAGTATATTTAGGAAACATATCAGGTCAAAATATCAATATTCACATGACTTATGCTAATTTTATTATTACAAAATCATTTTCGAAACAAATTCGTTGAGTAAACTGAGTAAACTGAAATAAGTTTTATTTATTATTTATGGGTTAATATTTACTTGACACCATGTAACATAAAATAAGCTGCATTTTTTATTTAACTCGTTCGCTGTCATATCTTTGTGTTACACATCTCAAGATTTTCAGGGCTAGGCCTGATAATTTATGTTATAACCATTCCTGGTGTACACATTTTGAGGTTTCTGCGCCTTATATATAATTGTTTGTTTGGTCATTTGGTACTAAGCGCCGGGTTCAAGTGATTTTATCTCGTACTTCTGTTGTAATTCAATGGACGAGTACCAAACCTTTTGTTGAATTGTTTTGCATTTACTTTGACCGTTTGAATGAGTAAATTTCCATCATATGAGGACCGGCCCTTAAAGGGAAAAGATACCGGACCCCCAGATGTTTACCCACAAAAACCAAATCAACTTGAGGATGCTTTAACTGATCAATTAGTCAAAGATGGATTTAAGTACAACAAGCCCGTTGTTGATGAATACAAATCAGGTAGAAAAAACTGCCTTCCTCAGGACCTGGACTCCGTTTGGGACCTGTACTATAATATACTTGTTCTCAAGGCTCAAACTGCCCCTGCTTTTGAGCCGGAAAACTCGCCAGCCCCACTAAAAATTTACTCAGGGATGGACAAAGAATGGGCTCAGCTCAAGGATTGGCTTTCTGACCTGTCCGGGGCAAACGCTAACAGACGCAGCACTATCTTTGACACAAGTAAAGCAAAGATTCTTGCAGAGCTCACAACACGTCGATTTCCCTTGTCCCTTGCTTTACGGCTAATTAATAAACTAATTATTCACACTACGGCACCTCTTGAGAACCTAAAAAAGAAACAAAAACTTGATCCTACAATGGAATGGACCGAGGAACTGTTGAAAATGATAGACAAATTGTTCACTGGGGATTTATCTAATATTTCTGCCAAGTTTGAAAGTATTTGTGGTGACTGGGATTACCTCTTTGGATTACTGCTGGCATTGTACGACAATGATCTCGTGGAACATTGGGATGTATTAAAGTGCCTCGCATCAAAGCTTGAACATTTGTATAAGAGTTGCTCGAAATCAACACAACAGGACTGTCCATCTTTTTGTTCGTCCAAAGATCGCTCCAATCAAGCTGCATGTGATCCCCTTCGAAGTCTAAAATTCGTCTTGCCATATTTTCAGCGATTTTGTCTTCGTTTTACTGAAAGTGAGCTTCTGACTCGTCGCGTCCTTTACTGGTCTTGCTACGTTTTCTCTGAATTCGTTAACGGCTGTAAACTTCGCGCCACACCAAATTGTTCGTTCGACAAACCTGAAGACTATACCGATCTCTTTGTCTGTGCTTATCATCGGCCCTTGCTCCTTTCTATCAGCAGTATTATTATCTCACTAACTCTGAACTGCCCATCTGCTGCTGTCTGGAATAAGATAACAACAGAAACCAACCACTCCTACCTCACTGGATCTCCCTTAGACCTCCTTCCCTGCTCTCTGGCATTCCTCCCGATTCCACCTGGTCCTGAGGCACCCTACTTTAGGAAATGTTTAATTGAAACGGAGACTGCCCTTCTTGAACGCGGAAGACTTGCCGAGAGTGGTTGGTGCCTGTTCCCCCCTCGAGCACTCACATCAAACGAGTGCACGGATGAAACAAATGTACGTTAAAAGTGCCCTTTTCATACATTAACTTGTTTCGCCTTACTAAGTAGAGCTTCAAATTTAAACCCTTAATCCTGTTTCGTTACTGCTAATTCGTGCGTCGCCCTCGCAAATATCATTTCACCACGATACATCATTTATTCCCCTCAAAGTTCATGCTTAACTGTTTCATTGCAATAACCTGTGAGGTTGTGTAACACTGTTGGATTGGGCCAATTAGGGCAAAATGCTAGCCAAATACGTCGCTCCATGAAATTGTGCTGATGAAGAATTATCAACACAAAGGCAGTATGTTAACTATGCCTTTTCGGTAAATGTAGCCTTGAGGCCTTTACCACTTAATGCTTGAATTTTACACCTACTGTTGTGCAATGCATCCATCGATCTGCAAATTTTAATTGTTTGTGTTGGCGTCCGTCGATTCTGAGATGACCTAAGCCAATTCAACTGCTGTGATCACCTAGTTAGACGTGGCGAAAGTATCGTTTTACAAATTTACTAATTTTGGTTATACTCTGTCATTACTTTTGGTTGGTTTTCTAGTTCTTATTAAATTCATCTAACTTAGTGCCCTTGTTGGTTTCTGTCTCAAAGGTCATTTTGTGAGATCAGCTTGTAACCTGTTGATTCGTTTGGATAATTAGCCCGCATACGCCTACCGTTTTTAAATTCAGTTGCATTTGTGTCTATTTGTGGAAGATTTCCTCAAAATCCCTGTCCTCCATTACCCTTGGCCAGAGTCATGCTTATTGTTGCAGAGGTCCGATTTAGTGTCACCAGTTATGGATTGCATAGAAAGCATTAACTGCGGTCAGCCGTTGTCTTACTTCGATCGCATTTAGTGCAACTAATGCACAGATACATGCAAAGTATGGTAATGTGGAGGGTTGTGGTAAATTCTAATGCTCCTTCTATCATAGCTAGTGTACCAGGAAAAAAAACGTTTTTTTTTCAAATGCCTTCACTACCTGGTGTCATTTTGTAACATTAACCAAAGGATGCTCACCATGGTAGTCACTCACTTGAATCCACATGTTGAATGGGTTTTCGGAGGTGCGTGTGTGTGTTAAATTGTATTACTCTTTGGCGCCATTTTGCATGTTATAATCGACACCACAGTGCCTTTTTTCGCGTGACGTGAGATTTTAGGAAGAAGATGCTTCCTTTACCTACCGATCGCTTCACCCAACTTGCTTTATCCCTCCTTCGTTAATAAAAGGGATTGCGATCAGAAATAGCCGAACTGTTTATTGCGGTGGTTAATTTTCGCAGCAGACATTGCACTATGCTTTATGCTAGGGGGAACATTGGTGCCAGTCATTGCTGGTGATCGAATAAAATGTTGTATAACCCCCTAAAGCACGTAATTACTGGCTTAACAGCATACCTTGGGTTTTGGAAATAACGTCACTCGTGTGCATGTGATTTTGTGCAGCACACACACACACACACTTTTTTTTAATTTTGCGTTTCCTCCTTTAATGTGGATCGTCAATTGCTCAAAATATCTCCCACTGCAAGGTTGGTTTTGTTTGCGTTTTGGATAAGTAGCGTCTCAAACCACGTCTATTACTATCGGGGCAGTTGTGCACACCATGATGTGTTTTATTCCCAATTTATCTCCCCGCCCCCGAAAACTTCCGGTGATTGTAAAACCATATTTTTGCCAGCTCGTTATAATTTAGGTCTTAGTTCTTAATGCAAGATTGAGCATACCTATTTCTCTTGCAAGCCAGGCGCATGCTATTGTTATTTTTTGCCACTTTAGGCTGAAATATTTGTTCGTGTATTGGACGAACTAGATTTTCAGGACTTCAGCATAACCCGTGAGACTCACCCGATCGATGGCCTCTTCAAGAAGCTTTTTCTTCCGGAACTTCTCCAATCGCCTCGATCCCTCTCGGCTCTGGTTATTTTCCTCTGCAAGTGGGCCGTTTCCCCAACCCGGACTGGACTGTACCGATCGATAATCGTTGCATGTTTACTCGAACACCTGCGTTCCAACCTGCCCGGAGGTCAGCTCCTCGGTTTCACCTTTCAAACCTGCCTTCTCACATTCCTTGACCAATACGCCCCCACCAGCCCCACAGCAGAGCCCGCCGCTTTCCGGGCTCTTGTATGTCTCTTTGCCGAGCTGATTGACCGCGGAATTTTCAATCACGACGCCTTCGTGCGGACGTACATAGCTCGCGGTGTTTTCGATAGTTCGCTTCACCCACTTGCCAACAATGACCACGCCTCCGTTCCCTCCACGACCCTCCACACCTCGAACAACATTAGTAATTTTTCTATTCAGTCCGAGATATCGGAGGATAATGACCGCAATAGCGTGGATAATCCCGATTCCGTCCGTTCTGATCTCTGCGGCGGCGCCGGCGGCGGCCTTCCCCTGCGGCAGTCCCCTGACCTCAACCGACACCTCCAGTACCTCATTCACTTTCCGCTTCCTCAGGACGAATCCTACGCTCACGAGCAAAATCAGCGCGCGCAGCTCCTCTACGGTAGCAGTATGAGGGCACAACTCCGGTCTCGGGATACCCTTCGAAAGTTGTCTCGGGACATCGGGAAACTCTTTACCAAAAGTGCCTACCGCCTTGACGTTGTCCACGGTGAATTGGGAAAGCGGAAAAGGAACAGGGAGCGAAGTATGGACTTGAGTGGAACGCCGAACAACAGTCAACGCAGTAGCTTCGGCACGACCAGCAGCGCTAAGGAATCACGCTCTCTTGAAGACCTGATTGAGGTCATCCAGACTCGCTTTCGAAGCCTCAATTACTATGACATGGAATGTGTTATCTCAAAAAACATGCCTACTTACCTCCGTGTGTTGTCCGGCACCACCTCCGCCTCCGTCTCAGCCGGGGGCGGTGGCGGTGGCGGACTTGGTGATGTCGCAACCGAATCTTTCCACACCGATGCCTCAGTCGCCGCTTCGTCACCGTCGACTTTCAACTCAGGTCGTGATCCCATCTACTACCCCGTTCACTCCAGCATTTTTCTTTTTCTTGAGTTAATTGAAACCTCCCTCAATATCATATGTCTCCTAGACACGGTCGCAGACACCCTGGAGCGCCTTCAAGCCTCCTCCCCCGCTGCACCGTATCCCAGTATGAGTTCCTATCTGTCTCTCATTTGGCTGCGAGCCATCGGCGTGCTTCGTGCCCATCAGGCGGTATTGCTCACCCAACCGGATTTGCAGCAACGGATTTTCGCTTGTTTGATCGAGCAGTTGCGACGAGGTGGCCATGAGAGGCTTCAAAGTCGACGGTGCATCTTGGCGTATTTGAAAGACCTCTCCTACTCCAGCGCTTACGTCAAACGGCTTTGGGTTGTGTGGAGCCAGACCCTCCGTTCTGGCGACTCTCAGGAGGCGGGAGTACAACCGTCGCCCCAGCGTGCCTTCGATTCAATCTTTAACCAGATCTCACTTGGCAGGCCTTCCGAGATTGTGATCAGTCTGCGCGAGAATTCTGAAAGGCGCAAGGTCGTAGTACACGACACCCTGAAAGAGGTACTCCAATACCGAGATTCTGAACGATTAGCCGCCCTCTTCGAGACAATTGTCGACTATTCTGTCCAGTGTAACGAGCTCGCTCTTGAGTGGTTGCCCGCCATGGCTGCGCTCATAGGTCCTAACACCACCACAGCAACTGTCATCTCCTCGTCTCCCAATTCTCCCAGCACTAATGTGGAGAGTGGTTTGCGATTGGATGACCCAGTAGCCTGGGATAATCTCACGTCCCTTATCGGCACCCTGCTTGCTCACAACTGCCTTGACGCGGTGCTCTTGTTCGAGAAACTCATCAACCCTTCTTTGGCTCACGGCCTCGATCAAAGCTCTGTCCCAGTCGACTCTCGTTTGGAACCCACTGTCCGTGTAGCTTGTCACATTCTTCATCGTCTCTTCACCGCAGAGACCGTCTGTCAGCCGTCTGGCCAGCAGGAGGGTCAGCAGTCGCAGTCCCTGCCCACATTTCGCGTCTCCGAACCCCTTCTACTGACAGGTGCTCTTCAGAAAGTGGCCGATTCGCGCGGCGCGTACATATATCTCATCGACTCTATGAAAATGCTCATGATACACAGTAACAAGGGCATCCCGCTTGAGTTTGCAGACGAGGGCGGAGAAGATGGCAGTGCCGCCGGTTCCGATGACAATTCCACCGATAATGATAGAGACTCGGATCGCGACACCGACGATGGCCATGCCGACAGCTCTCTTGACCTCTACGACGGTTTCGACCTGACAGACGGTCCACCCACTTCGAAGAACAAGCGGAAAAGACGGAGGGTGCACCTGGCCTCTTCGAAGAACAAGAAGCGACGTGGAGTGAACGCGAAGCGGAACTCTGCCGGGTCAAATCTGTTCAATTCTAGACGTAGAAATTGGCTGCCTGGCCGGATACACCGGAGCACGTGCAACTTCCTCACTACTGGTCAACCGCCAAGCGACAGTGAGGTTCGCGCCATGCCGCTGCGCGATTTCGCTCATCTGGTTCTGCGAGAAATATGCGTCACGCCGTGGGTTCGGGAGAATTTCTATCGCATACCTGGATTACTGCTCGCAAATAACGTTCTCATCGACAATATGATCTCCGGCAACCAGACGCGCTTTCTTCTGCACATAATCTACCACCCCCACGATGTCAAGTGGGTCGATTTGGCAGCTAATCCCGAAAATGTGGCCGAAGTGATGCTCTCGCTGATATCCGGCGTCAATATCTGGACCCTCCACTCGACACGCATGGAGCTGAACCTCCTGTGCATGCACATCTCCCCCACGTCGTCGAAGGAGGCCTTGGATCAGGTGGCGAACAGGATAGTCACTGGTTTCAACGAACAAGCCCTTTCCTACCTCAGGACGGCGTCTGGTGGCGCCTTTAACGACGCCTCCTCAACCTACCTCTTGCCCGAGGGCCTGCCTGAGATTGAAATCCCCGAGAGTGACAACAGCTGGTATCTGCCTTCCCTCATCGCCAAACTGCCCCACGAGCTGAAAATGCAAATTGTGACCAAAACCTGTGACGTAAGCCCCCGTTTTACCTTCATCAAGATTTAGCTCTTTTACGCGGTGGTTTAAACCGTTCGCCTTGAAATCGGCATTTCAGGCACCTGCTTTGTTTACACATTTCAGCATGTGTATTCCATAGTAACTTTTCCTCATTCGACTACAGTACAATTGGATGTTGTAGCGATTCACGCGCACCAACTGTGCCAGTTGTCAACGCTGTTTAATACGAAAGAATGTTGTGAATAGTGGAGACCGTTGAGCGTATATATTTGCACGGTGTAATGTTACAGAGGCAACCACGTGATTAAATGTGGTCTTCATTTCATATATATATATATGTGTGTGTGTGTGTGTGTGCTGAATTGTCGTGCACTTAGACATCGTGTTTTATACCTTTTGCTTATCACCTGGCAAACCACATCACTGTATTGACGCTATTCCTGCCAGGTTTCTCGACTTGACATCGCTTTGGTGTCGAGTTGCCTTGGCCGTGGTCACCACTACCGTCTTTAGAACGCGAAAACCTCGTCTGATCACTTAGTCAAAAGTCATCAACTACTCTGCGTGTTTTATTCGTGTGTTTTTCAGATTCTCTATGGAATCAAGCAGTTTTGGCGACACAAAAATGACGAGGACCAGGAGCGAATTGTGATGGAGCACTCGATTCTCCTTGCGCACCCAGTTTTCTCCTCCATCCTTCACGTCTGTATGGAGACTGTGGACCCGCTGGAGCGTCTCTACGAGCAACTCGAGTGTTTTGTCTCGGGCGTGAAGGAAACACGTGATCGCATGCCCGAGAACCTTCGAACACGTCACATTCTCCAAGAGTGTCTAGCCCTGCGTCTCTCGCTTCTCGGCATCTGCCTCTCCTCCGTGAATCTCGCTACTGATCGTCTCACCAGCGGTGCCCTAATCCTCGCCCAACTCATTGGCTTCGGTGTCACCGAGCCGCATTCCAACCAGACCCTTTTCTTCACTTGCCTCGACATGCTTCACACCCTGGTGCACAATCTTGCCTCTCAGGCCGGCCCTGACAGCCAACAATGCCAAAATCTCGCCAAGAAGGTGCGTAAAAAGCTCGCTGAGCGTCATTTCACCGTTGGAATCGAGTACATTCGTCCGCTTCTCTTCATCGGCCGCACAGGTTTCCCCTTTGTCGCAGTAGCTCCCCTCAACGGAACTGCCGGCTCGGGCAACAGAAACGATGGTGGCGGTGGCGGCGCAGGAAAACTTGGCGGATCCTCGAAATTTGCGTCTGGGGGTTCGTTCAAGGCGAATAGCAAGTCCGGCGGTTCCAACGCCTCGAGGTACGGTGGCGGAAACACCGGCAATTCGGGGGCTGGTAATCTCACCTCCGGTGGTGGCGTCAAGTCCTTTTCGCGAAAACGTGGCTACGCCTTTATCAGTCGGGATAGGTTCGCGCCCTGGGATATTTACGACGTAAACCGCAGGCCCACCTTTCTGGCTATGTGTAGTGCCGTCGAAGTTCCGGCAACTCAGTCGCGAATTGAGGAGCAGGCGAATTTGCTGTTGAGTCATGAGCACCCCCTAAGCTTTCGTCGATCGGAGGAGTTCTACCTGCAGTCGCTGTTTAACGACGCGGAGGCGTCAGTGTCTTCGGCGTCGACGGCAGCCGCTGTGGCGTCACCGAGTCCCTCTTCGTCTGGGGATTTGACGGCGAAGCAATTTGTTCTCGGGCCCGTGCCACCAATGAAACGTCAGCCCGGCGTCGAGAGCCTTCCACGCCGCGCTCCGCCGCAGCAAGCTCCGCGTCTGCCCAAACCACCGACTGCGGCTGACGATCTCATGTACAGACAGCAGCAAGCACAAATACGGCTTCAGACGCCCCCCTCAACCCAAACACAGCAACCAAAGCGAAAGCGGAGTCGTGCCGCGCCTCAAGAGGAGATGCTGCTTGCTCCGCCACCCCCTCCTCCGCCACCTCCCCAACTGTATCACCAAGGTCTCTACGGTGCGTCTCAGAATTCCGCCATGGCTGCAGCGCAGGCTGTCGAGTCCGCGGCTGCCGCCTCCACCGTCACGGGCAAGCGGAAGCGCCTCGGAGGGGGAATGGCGGGCGGCGCGGGAATCAGACGGGCCGTGCCGCAGCTCAACTACGACAACGGCGGAATGTCCGCTGCGGTGCTGTCGCACCAGCACCAACAGCCGTGGCCACCGAGGATGGCCGGACCGCCGCCCGCCGGAATGCCCGGCAGGGTGCCAAATCAGCGGCAAAACCTCTCCGACTTTGTACAGAACCGAAACAAGGCCCAACAGCAGCAGCAAAAGGCAGCTCAGCAGCAGCAACAACAACAGCAACAGCAGATGGCTGCTGCATTCGCGGCAGGTGTTGTGTCAATGGAGGAGCGATTCCCCCAGCAGGATCCCAGGTGCGCCTTTTTTTCTATTGCAACATTTTCTGTCCCCACTTTATGCGCGCCTAACAGACGCTCTGCGGCAGGCGATCACTTCCCCTGACAGTATTGCTGCTCGTTTTGATGTCTTAACACTGAGTAGTCAGGCGTGCAGGCAATGACCCCCTCCAAGCACGCCTGACCTTCTCTGTCGGTGAGGTTTTCGCTCTTGATTGTCCTCTCCAGTCCCTCGATCCATTGGGCTTGATGGCAAACGCGAGAGTCTGGTTTGTGTGCCTCCGTGACGGCTGTACGCGGCATTTGATTGTTGCTTAGTTGCGTTTCGGATTGTGGGCCCTCCCGGACCCCTTATTGTCTGGGTGGGCGGCTTCGTTGATCTTGTAAACGTTTGGATCATCCGGCCGAAGCATATTTGTCCATTTTCACTCGTTTTACGCGCCGATCAGCCAGCCGTTCAACCGGGTTTGCAGTTACTCTCGGTGTTCACTGTCATTTGGGGGTCAAACTTGGTGCAGACCCGCCGCCCATGTTACTCGCATAACTTAAGCCTGCCACAATTTTCCGGTGCCTTGTCGGTAGGGAATACCAAAATCGACCATAATTCGTACAGGGGTACAGGCGTCGTGTTTAGACGGTCAACCCCACATTCCACACGATCTGTAAGGTGGCCTTCTCGACTCCCCCACCCCTTGACGTTTAATCGGTACCAACTCTTCATTTTTCGTGTCTCAGGTTTATGTCATCAGGTCGAGGCCAGGGTGATCCCAATTACCCCTTCCCGGAGATGATGCCATCACAATCAGGCGGACCGTTTCCTGACTTCCAGCTGGAATCCCAACTCCGTCATCAACGCCAGCAGCAGCAGCGCTACGTCGGAGGTCAACAGCAGGTGGTACCAGATCCACCACCCTACCCTGGTCGGGTGCAGCACCAGGCGAAGGCCACTCCGATGATGCAGATGCTGAGCTCAGCCCCCTCGTCGGCCGCCATGTCTGGGCAGCACCTGCCCTCACGGTCCACGCCTGCAAACGTGACTTCCTACATGATCCCCCAAACACATCGGACTCCCTTTCCAGGGGGGGAGCACCCCAGGCCGCCTGCTCCCCCACCACCCAACACCATCTCTTCCTCCTCCTCCTTCTCCCGACTCTACGACACCGGCGACTACCGCTAGGCGTACAGGAGTCCGCCCAACCTCTTCCTCCTCCTCCTCCTTCTCCTTGTGTACAAAAGTGTATGTAAAAAGATTTTTTTTAAATACACACTCAAACCTCTTCTCACCAACACCACCAATGATATATTGTACAGTTGTCCGCACTCCAACTCCTTCTGTGACTGCTATGCATAGAAGTACGAAATGAGACTGGTAAGCATGCTGGCTATTTTTCTGCACACCGACCCCCAGCCCCCTGTACTTTCACGGCACAGACTCGTGGCGTATGTGTACGTGTATATAGATGTATGCGTACATGCCTCCTCTAATCTTACTTACTTTGGTTTTTTTTCGCGAAAAAATGGGCACGCTTTTTGTGTGTACTCTGGTGTAGCTTTTTTTTATTGGTCTGCCTCGGTGTGTGTCGCATCTGATTGGTTGGACGGAAAGTGGCGCAACCGTCGTGCCCTAGTTACTGCAATACCAGTTTGACCAATTGATTGACTCAAACAATTTGGGTGTAGGCCTGGTAATGGTAGTCGAGGTGTCAGGTTTGTAAGCTGCTTGAGTTACAGGCGGTGCAAAATCATCGTGTTAAATTTGTGGGTTTGGATTTCATTGTAGCCTATCGGATTGCAGTTTCGAACATTTAAAAGCCTCCCAGACAATCCAAGAGGTTGGCAACTTGTGTAGCCAATTAAAGGAAGAGATCCAGTCGGGAATTGATCGCTCTCTTGCCTTCAACTTTTGTGCTTTGAGTTGACCTTGATTGAGTCCGAGCCCCGGGTATGATATAGTGGCACTGTCAGCAGTCGGGTGGCGAATATGGTCCTGACATGAGCCCTGAATTGAACGGATCATGCTCTAGGAGTCGACCCAAGGTCAGGTCATATCCCCTAATAGGCCAATTTGGGGTCAAAGGTCAACGAATCTGTGATTGGCGTGAACGTGGGACGCGAATTCTAGTTCCCAGCGACGTACTAACTTAGATTTCACTTAAATGAATTAAGGAACTCGATCACCGATTGGTTTTGCAAAGTTAAAGTTCATCAAGTTTTGGGGAGAATTGACGATGTATCTAAAAGTAATGTATGTTTCAGTGTTGTCGAAGGCAAACCCTTTAAATGCTCGTCGCAGATTCAAATATCTCGTTTTCGTAAAGGTGCTAGCATGCATCGAAAGCGCGTGTGGTTGTTGGTACATGACGTTAGCATTCTTTTCGTATTCTGCTTGCTTCTAAATTCCTACCGTGGGAAAATGTCACTGGGTTTGAAAAAAAAGCAGATTCTTTTAAACTGGTCGCGTGCTCCTAAGGGTTCAGCAAATACCGCTGAGGAGGGGATAAGCGATTGATTTTAACACGGAGACACAAATTGGGAAGTGTATTGCCTTTGGCTCATCGATTCTCCTTTACAACCTGGTATAATTTTGTTTGGATATTTCCTATTAGGACTCTGTCGCAGAGTTCAACTCTCATTCCAACCGTTGATCGTCTGTTGTTTAGGTGATAAAGGTATCGTAGAGTACATCAGACATCCCCTCACGCCCCAGTCACTGAGAGATAAGAGCGGGAAGCGATTTAACCTTGCTAAAATCGCCTCAGTCTCTGGTGACGGCTAGAGTTGTCTTGGATTTCGACTTCCAGTCAATGCAAACCCCAAACAAAGCCCTCCTTGTGTGTTACCTTTCTGTGCGCCTCCCCTTGTTTGAATGAGCTACCACGCTATCTGGGCGCCGAGTTGATATTTAACCACCACAGACAAGATAGCATTCGTTTCCAGCCACGCCATCTAACTCATTTGTCGTAAAGTGATGTTTATCATGCATAGAACACAGACTACTGAGGGTAAGCCAACCGCCACTTGTTGTATTTTGACGTCGGTGTGTTTATCTGGACGATAGAACACAGCTAGTTACAGTGAATGCGGCGTTGTCATCATAGCGCCTGAATTACTTCGTTGGTCTGCATGTCTTTCTCATAGACCAAACACCTTTTGCCTAGTTAATTCTAGAATAATTTCAGTCCGATCATGCCGTCAATGAGGGTAAAATCCACTTGTATGTATTGATCTATCCGTTGTTTTAAATCTCGTCCCTACTGACCGCCGCTTACAATTTGACCACAGGTAGAAATTGTCTATAGCCGTGAACGACCATATTTGTTGAATTCGTTTACTATTCAACATTTAGTGTTTACTCTGGTTACCTTCTGATTTCCTTCTCATTCTTCAATTCCGGCTAATTTATCCGCTGTAGTTTAAGCCACTGTTGGTATTTCGTGAATTTATGCTTCTCAATCAATAAATCGTATTGAATAATGTATAGGTCCAAAGGACTGACACCCCAAGTGGGTGACGCGGGGTAAAAAAGTAAAAAAATCCAGAACTCCTAGCTCCAATCAGTGATTTTTGTAGACTGCAATCAACATTCGATTGAAAAAGGCCTGCGCTGTTGCCAGGACAGTGGTTGTACTGATTCGGTGAGTCAAAACGATACAGAACACCGGTGGCGTTGAAGTGGTGAACTCATAAAACTGTTGTATCAAAATTTTACACAAGTGTTTGAAGCATGGCGTGAAACCACGTGGACATCACACGAGATGTCAAACTGTGCAATTTCATTATTATTTCTCAAAGCAGTGTAAATTTCGAAAATCTGGCGCAACAGTTACGGCTGAATTTCAAAACCGTGATTCGTGTTAATAACCATGGTTTGTACAATATTTTACTAATGAATTTCATTCTTAAAAAAACCACTCACAAACTAAGGAAAACAGAGCTTTTCAAGTATCAGCATTTAAGATAAAAAGGGAATAAATTGTCAACTTTTTTGATTCTTGTTAAATCACGTTGTTGATAGGCGGTTGATTTAATTTAAATAAACCACAGCGCTGTTGTCACTCCAATCAATTATCTTTCGGACTAAAATTGCATTTTAATCGAATATCTAAAAAAATCACGGCAATAGCAGAATTTCGAAAACCCTCCTAATTGCTCCAAGGTCAAGACGCCTTTGTTTAAATTTGCCCGATCATGATTCGAAACGGCCGCGATGTCAAGATTGTCAGAGCAAAGTGCAGTGTTGTAAATCGATCGACGGATGTAAGCAATGTCTACAAGTATCGATTTCAACGGGCGACAAGTGTAACAAGTTTGTGTTATACATTCAAACATTGACAGCTCAACATACAAATTGGGACATATTTTTATTTCGAGATTTAATGAATGCATTTAAGACGGAAATATTCTCGTGATCTTCTGTTGTTTCTGCAACACCAGGCGACAAGTCTACGTGTGTTGCATAACCTCTCGGAATAGCAGAGTTGGCCAGGGCAACCGATAAACAGCACGTTCGATTACACTGCGCTTTATAGGAGATTCCGACAACAAGGAAAAAAGGGTTCCACGGTGAGCGAATCAATTCGTAGCCTACGTTGGGTCATATGGGATGTGTCATTATGGTTACAAACTTTTTCGAAGTGATGATATCGTGCTCAATCACCACCTTCAGCACTGTAATTTATTTGTAGATCAAGTTTTTTTGTAATCCCCGACAACGCCATCAAAATTACTTGATTGATGGTTTACCATGCTTCGTGACCGTTCCAACCCCAAAGCTCTTGTAATTCTTGAGGGGGCACACGGGCGCAGACGAATTCATTGTCTATTTTTATCTACTTCAAAACCACTTTGAAGAATCTAGCCAATAACCTTCCAGTATAGCTTACAAAATCGGATATCGATGAACAGATTTTGTTCTATGACATGGATTTACATGTTCTAGGGCACGCTTTCTCGACAGCGTTTGCAAATTTTGATGTTGGAAGTTTCTTTTCATTATGCCTGAAATGGCATTAATTAAATCTTGTCTTTTTGGAAATCCCTGCTCCGGTTCACGACCTTCTCGTTTCCAGATCATTTTAAGGCCGTAATTTCAGATCATCGCCGCACCTTTGCTTTGAGCCACCAAACGCGTTTATTCGCGCTTCCGATTCAGAACATTTAAAATGTGCAAAATTGAGTCATTCACTTCACACGATTTTAACAAATTTTGACCGCGGCAACAAAAACCAATTCGGAGCGTCGGAAAACGTGAACGTATTATCCGAATCAGTAAATATTGCGACAGTACGCTCACGTTCACTTCAAATAGTGTTAAACATGAATACCACTCGTTCTGTGAGCAAAATGGAAACGACGGTCAGTAAGAATCAGAATTGAAACAACAGATGAAGTAAGACAAACGCGGTAAGAGTTACAGACACATTTTACAAGGTCTTGAACCAACAGTAAACCGTCTAATTGCTCAGCTGTCCAGTTAACCAATCACAATTGCAGCCCAGTTCCCCCAGCGCTTCCCCATTGGTGCATTAGTGAGAGCCGTTCGCTTATGAAAGCAGGCGTAAATAATGTTTGCTGACAGGGACAACAATAATACTTATTATTAGGCGGTGCACGAGGGTCAGTGCTAAAGGCGCGCGGCAATTAACAGTCCATTTTTGGTGTCCTATTTACATTATTTCTAGTTTATAAAGCCGCTAAATTTTCCCGTAATCTTTGAAGCTGCCGAACGCGCACTTTGTTACCGTGTTACTCTTGTTTAACATTTTCAGATGTTGCGGTTTCAATTCAAGAAGTCAACATTTATTTGAAGAGTGATCAAATGGATTAATTGTGATTTTTTGAATGGTGTTAACAAATGGCATGCAAGGTCCCATGTTCGACCATCAAACGGTTGTTTTAACATAAATTTAACCTAAAACGTAGCTTTATTTCTTGGAAATCAACCTTCTGAACAGAAGAGGTTTAATGAACGGATCAGCGGATTGGCAGGTCATTCATTATTGCTAAGCAATATCAAACTATTAGCAAATATGTTGTTTCTAATTGAGCTTTGTTAAAAAATATAGTTGGTAATCAAACTTACTGTCATTTTGCTCGTCATGATTGCCCAATTCTAGGTCAGTTCTTAAACCCAAAAATGGTAAGTTTTTAATAAAAGTTATGTTTAGGGGCCCAAAG